AGGTCTTTCTGAGGGCAGCGATGCAATGGAGGTGCTTCTCCCTGGCACTGTAGGTCACACCTGTCATGGGACAGAGCCAGTGAGGTGTGTGTCGCTTAGTTCCAGGTAGTGGGTTTTTGAAATGTGAACTAGCAGAAACGGGGGGGGGGGGTTAGTGGGAGGGTGGCATGTTACTCGGGTGGAAAGATGGGGCAGGGATGTCATCAGCCAACTGCACCGTCCTCCATGCTCAGGTCGGGTTCCCTTGAACCTTGGATGCGGTAGGGCTGTGGCTTTTTTCTTGATTATTAAGTGATGTTAAGCGGTGGCAGGTGTCATATACGACACAGTCTTCCCCCTAGTCAAAGGCAGAGACAGCTGCCCCCGAGTCACTGCCGAGCAGGACGTGCTGGGCACTGCAGCAGACAGACCGCGGTCCCTCTGTGCCTTTGGGATGCCCTGAATGCCGGTATTTCTCAGCTTTTTCCGGCCCATGACACACAGCTCACCATTTTGTACCAGGAGGGCACCTCTGCCTCGCCTCCCACCCCTTCCCCATGCCAACGCCTTCCCTCCACACCACACACCCTGGCGGCGCTGTCTTGCCCCGCCGCTTCCCGTCTGAAATTGGTACCTTGGAGTGACGAGACTGACCCAGGATGTCCTGGACACACCCACGCGCCCTCCCGCCTGGTTGGAAAGCAGTGAATTCTCCTGCTCTCAAGGAGAAAGAGGGGGTGATGCGTGAGGTTTGGATGACCTGGGGGACACTTAGAAGCGGGGGAAGGGGAAACAAAAGATGGGGAAGGTAGTGAAAGGGAGAAACTATCACAGCTGTTTATGGCTGTTTAAATGCTCCCTAAATTCTGCATTTTTCAGAAAAAAAGTCTTTCCTGCTGGGAATTTCCTCAGAAATTGCCTTAATTCCCTTTCGTTCACCACAGATCCTAACTGGACTCACACATGATATGTGTACTTTAATAGTTCAGTTAGGGGCTTCCCTGGTGGCGCAGTGGTTAAGAATACACGCAGGAGACAAGGGTTTGATCCCTGGTCTGGGAAGATCCCACATGCTGCGGAGCAATTAAGTCCGTGTGCCACAACTACTGAGCCTGCGCTCTAGAGCCCGTGTGCCACAACTACTGAAGCCTGTGCGCACCTAGAGCCCGTGCTCCCCAACAAGAGAAGCCATCGCAATGAGAAGCCTGCGCACCGCAACGAAGAGTAGCCCCGCTCGCCGCAACTAGAGAAAGCCTGCGCGCAGCAACGAAGACCCAACGCAGCCAAATATAAAATAAATAAATAATTTTTTTAAAAAGATAAGTTCACTTAGTGAATGGTGGTTAAGACACCCGCTCTGTGCTCAGCCCCGTGCCTTGCAGGGCTGTCCCCTCACGCACGTGCAGGTCCCCACCGTGCCCTCGGTGCTCCAGTCTGGGGGGCCAGGGAGGGCCTCCTGGAAGCTGGGGATGGAGGGGTGGGTGATGCGGGGGCCTGCAGTGAGGATGGCTGAGTGGCTGGGTGTCTGGTTGCCGTCCCGCCTCCAGCGCTCAGGCTAAGCGTTTATCGTCCTCACCTCGGGCCTCTTTTCTGTGAGACAGGGACGGGGCCATCTACTTGATCCACGTCACAGACCCAGCAACTCAGCAAGTAATGGCAGGGGAGAGACATTTTCTGGTTTTAATTTTTTAAAATTATTATTATTTTAAATTGTAGTGCATGCAGCGCACCACTTTAGCCATTTTTAAGTGTACAGTTCAATGACATTAAGTATCTTCTCTGAGGAAGCTTTCTAAAATTAACGATGCTTTAACAACTTTATTGTGATTCGTGTTGGGCCGTGAAGGTGAAGGTTTGTTACCATCCTGTAGGTTCCCAGAGGGCGGACGCTTGTGTGAGGGATGCAGAGGACAGGCAAGATGGGTGAGTCGGAGGCCGGGCTCGGTCTTTGCCGTGACCCTCGTGGGCCCTGCTCCCTCCTTCCTTGAACCTCCATATACACCTCACCCACGTGCACAGTGGGTGTTGCCACAGACCTTCAGTCCACTCCTGCCGTGGGTGTTCTGCATCCCATTGGCCGGGACACCCTGTCACCTCAGGGATGTTCCTGTATTACGGGAGCCTGGGCCTGCGCGGGGGACACGGGGGCCGGGCTGGGCCGAGGGGCCTACAGCATGGGGACCCCCGGGACCCCAGAACATTTCCTCCAAAGCACTAAGTAAATAGCTTCATCCCCACATCCCTCCCCTGTGCTAAGAATTCAGACTCCCTTTGGTTTAGTTAATTGGTGTCAGGAGGTAAGGAATTTAGTTGAGGCCCGAGATTGTCAAGTAAGACCTTCCCGAGGGTTTCCTTCAACTCTGAGCCCCGGTTGGTTGAAGGGCGGGAAAACCTCACGTCGGTGAGTGTGCAAGTGGATGCACTTTCCTCAGTTCCACTGCCTGGAGTTGAGTCTACTTGTCCCCAGACACTGGGGACACTGCTGGCTTCTCGCCTCAGGGCAGAGCGGCGGCACGTGGCACCCATTTCCCAGACACCTTTTTGCTTTTGAGCCCCTTCCCGTTTTCTCTGTGGAAATGCCCTCCCCAGGGTGAGGATGGGTCCCGGGAGGGGCCGTGCACCCCAAGCCTCCTGTCATCGGCTGCCCCTCTGCGTCCAGCCCCCCGCACGAGCCCTCTGGACTCTTTCCCGAGCAAACGTCGTCTTTAATGAGAACGGAGGCGCCGCGGGGCTCGCAGGCAGGAAGCGTGTGGTTTGGGTCCGGGAGCACATGACGCCCCGGGAAGCAGCGGAGCCCGGGGTATGAGTCACTGGGGGAAGGAAAACAACGTCTGTCTTCAAGCTCCGGGAACTGGGAAAACGAGCTGGAAATCTGAGTAATGTATAATTTTACTAAAATTAACCAGCGAGGTCTTCAGATGGTTTCTGGGTGTTTCAGTGTCTTTTCCGGTCCTTGATGCCTGCTGCGTCCTGCCTGCGGGGGCCCATTCTCCCGTTCGCTCCCTGCGGGTTGACTTGGGACAGTCCCCATCGCTCCTCGGGCCCCCTGCTGCGCTGTGCGGTGTCGCGGTGCTGCGTGGTGCGGGGTGTGAGCACCGGCGCCCCCGGGCGACTCTCCAGCCTTCTGCCCGCTCCTCCGGCCCTGCGCCCCTCCCGGTGCTGTGGTGGTCACGGGGGAGCTTGTCGCCCCTGCCCGTGGTCGTGAGCCCATGAGAAGGGCTGTGTCTTCCTCTCTGTAACCGTCAGAAAATAGGGGCTCAGTTAACATTGGTTGAATATCGTGGGGTCTGAACTGGACGGAGGCGCGTTCCAAGTGACGTGTCCAGTCCCTGAGTTTGCAGAGTTCATGAAGTGACCTCTAGAAACCTCATTTTGGGAGGTAGGTTCCCTGACACAGTGACAAACCTCACTGTGTCAGGGAACCAGTTCACACTGAATTTTATTCAAATTTAGATGGAAACCTGATGCTGGAGATGACTCTGTGTGACAACGTAGTCTTCAGACACCGGTCACCTGTATATTCAGTAATAAGTACCCGTTCAGGGAAAAGCCAGGTTATCTTGGGTCTGAGGGGCCTGAAGCCCATCGAGCCAGGCGTCCCCGTTCTGTGCCGTTCTGCAGGAACGTTCGGCGTTTGCGGTCACGACCGCGCAGCCCTTCACTGTAAAGGCCTGTAATGCCATCTGAATCATCACAGGAAGATGAAATTATGGACAGGCTGGTTTCAGAATTACTTTTTTTCTTTTCTTTTTCTATTTTTGGTATTGTAATTCTTTGAAAATTGTCAGGATCCATGTGGTGTGTATGGAACATCTCATCTACACTGTGACCAGAACATACTCTTCCGTGATTGTCTTCATGGGCTGGAAGTTTATTGTCTAACTGCTTCTAAGTCAGCTTGTATAGTCGACCAGCGAATAGTGCGGGGCTGGGGGGACACACCCATAAATTACATGCTGTGCCTTACGCAGTTCGTTGCCCTGTAGTTGATGAACTGAGCTTACAGCTGATTTGGTTCCGCTAATGCCCATTGATCTCTCCACTGTCACAGAAGCCATTACCACATTTTTAGCTAAAATACTTGCTCCTTTGTTACGAAAAAAGACTGCTTTGGCAGCAGAGGACACAGCGGATTTAAGGGCTGAGACCTGAGGCACAAAGAACCCCTGGGCGGGGGTGAAACTACCGTGAGGCCCACCGCTACCGTGCGGAGTCATTCTCCCCGTTCTCAAAGAGACGCAGCGTGTAACCTTGCCCCTAGACGAGATCCATCAGGTTGCAGGCAGGGCCCGTGCTACCGCCTCATCTGGGTCCCACTCGGCCCGCACCTGCCTGTGGTTGGACTTTCCTACGGCAGGGCCCTCCCGCTGGCGCGCCAGGCTCTCCACGCTCCACACCAGGCTGATCGCCACACCGTGAGCCAAACACCACGGCTCGCGGGCCAGTAGCCTCGGCCAGTGAGGAGATTGGACTGGGTCTCGGTCCCCTCGTCTGGGGCGGGGGTGGTTACAGCCTCCCCTTCTCAGTGCTGTTGGGAAGACTGAATGAGCTGAGGCCAGTGGAGCCTTAGAACAGGACCCGGCAGGTAGGAGGCATGGGGTTACTTGGGCATCATCACCACCACCATCCTTCTGAAGGCAGATCCTGGGCCAACCAAGCCAGCCTGGAGCACACAGGTGAGATCTCTGGGCTCTGAGCGAGTGGAGTTTGTTGAAGAAGCGCTCAGCCAGACTGCTGAGCAGGGGGCTGCCGTCTCGTCTGGATGGAGCTATGGAGCTGACTCTGGACCCTGGGAAGGTGCTTCTCCCCAGCACCCACCTGGGTTAGCATCCTGGCCCCTCAGTTACCGGTAGGCTATTCGATCAGAGCCTCAGATGGTGGGGTGATGATTGTGTAATATTTACCCACACCAAAGTGAGGGATGAAATGATCGGTGTGAGCGTCTCACCGCGGTCGCCAGCTCCCTTGCCTCCCAGAAGCTGCCAGGTTTTCCTGTCTGAGCGTTCACTCCTCTTTTTCAGGAACAAGACGGCCAACGGGGACTGCCGGAAAGACCCGCGGGAACGGAGCCGCAGCCCCATTGAGCGAGCCGTGGCCCCCACTATGAGCCTGCACGGCAGCCACCTGTACACGTCCCTCCCCAGCCTCAGCATGGAGCAGCCCCTTGCACTGACCAAGAACAGCCTGGACGCTGGCAGGCCGGCCGGCCTCTCGCCCACCATGACCCCAGTGGAGCGGCAGCAGGTACGCCCTTGTCCAGTGCGCCTCGGCTGGTGGCCGGTAGTGGGTCCGGGGGCTTGGGGGATGGAGGGTGGGGTGCAAGGAGGGCGGTGACAGACGTGGGGAGTAACCCCACCCTCGGTTCTGTACTGAGGGTGGTTTTAATTCTGACCTGGGCCTGCCTAGGCCTCGCCCCTTGGGACTAATGGCCTCAGACAAGACAGTGTCTTTGGGGCTTAGTTTCTTTGCACGAGACGGGGTTGGTCTAGACTAGCTGTGTTTCTAGCAGTCTTCCTTGGCAGCCGTGTTTAGGGCTCAATGTAATAATCCTAATAGGAATCCTGCGTTAACCCGTTAAAAGGCCACACAGATAGAGTTAAATGCCAGGTTGCTTTGCTTTGGGCTGGAATCCTATGAAGTCAGTGGTCACAGTGGCTATTAGCTTCTGCTGGTCAGAAACCTGTGATTGGCAGACAAGGATTTTTTTTTTTTTTTTAGGAAATTAAGTTGTTAATAAACACAGATTGCTTGGTAGGAAAAAAGGCTTTAAAAAATGGGGTTCCTGGGGGCTTCCCTGGTGGCGCAGTGGTTGAGAGTCCGCTTGCCGATGCAGGGGACGCGGGTTCGTGCCCCGGTCCGGGAAGATCCCACATGCCGCGGAGCGGCTGGGCCCGTGAGCCATGGCCGCTGAGCTTGCGCGTCCAGAGCCTGTGCTCCGCAACGGGAGAGGCCACAACAATGAGAGGCCCGCGTACCGCCAAAAAAAAAAAAAAAAAAAGGGGTTCCTAGGGGAAGAGCTAATAAAAGGAGGCATTAGCCTTGAGGTTCAGAAACACTGCACGAACCCATGGCTTTTCTCTCTGAACCTTTGGGGCCTGTGACCTAGTAGGTCCTCACTCAGTGTTTGCTTAAGACTCTTGGACGTGGACAGCAAGCAGAGGAGGTGCTGGGGCCGCCGGAGCCGGGCTCAGCCTCCAGGCCACCGCTGTGTCCCCGGCCCGCGCCTGGTTCTGACCCAGTCTGTGACAACTGCTTGTGAGGGGCCCCGGGCGTTGGGCGAGGTTGCGCTGGTGCCTGTGGTTCCCAGTGAGGCTGATGAGCGGTTGCGCTTCCTACCTTGGAGCCCAAAATCACAACCCTGTTTGTTTCCTTTGTTCTTTTAACAAAACTGCGTGGACACTTGCTTTGTGTAGGGAGTGTGTTAGAAACTGGTCAAGCTGGATGCGGGCGCTCACAGTTTTGAGTCTGGAGGAGACAGGGAGTCAAAAATAACTCAGGTCTTAATGTATGAATTGGTGAGAAAAAGGCTGAGTTAGCACGTAGTGAACACTCACCAGTGCTGCTGCGCCCCGGCGCTGGGAGGCCCTGGAGCTACAGGAAGGAAGGGAGTTATACTGGGAGGGCCCGGGGCGTCTCCCAGACCCGGGGTCGTGGGTACAGCCAGGCTCAGGAAGCAAGGGCCGGCTCTTGCCTGGGCGAGCAGATAGGAGGCAGGACCCTCCTTCCTCCCCTGGCCCCGTGCCTGTCTCTGCATCCTTCTCTCTCTCTGCTTCTGGATCACATGGCCAGCTCGGCGTGGCCGTCCCCCAGCTCCTGAGCTCAACTTGAATCTTCTCCTGAGTCGGCCTTGGTAGTTGAGCCACAGCCTGAGGCAGATCTCCAGCCTGACCACGGGGCGAGGTCACTTATGAACATGGCTGCACAGCCCCATCTCGAGGATGGAGGGCACGTCACTACGAGAGGGCTGGCGGGGAGATCACGGGCTCGGGGGTTTAAATAGGCCCTTCAAAAGGTGGGCTGCACACTGCAGGCTGTCCTTCAGGTGCGGCATGACCAGCACCTGCAGGGCAGGACTCCTGGACGTGACCACGGGCCAGGCCCCCACACCCATCTCAGGCGATGCTCCGAACGCCCCTCAGGTACGAGTCTTCCTGTTTCATACTCAAAGAAATGGAAGCTTAGAGGGCTGAAGGTCCTGCCTACTGACTAGAGCTGGTTCACCCAGGTCCACCCGGCCTCAAAGCCATGTTCTCTCCTGTCTGCCGTTGTCATCCACACGGGGGGGGGGGTGTCACACCAACTCTTCTGGTGGCTCCGTCCCATTGCTCTTGTGTGGAATTAATAAAGCCCCAGATTCTTGGTTCACGTGCTGCTGCTAAGCTGCATCTTCTCCCATCCTGGACGTGTGGAATTTCTTGTTAGACCCAAGCACATCCCCGCTCACCGGTGTGGGTACAGATCTTCATCACGGACGTGTTCTTATCATTCCTGTTCACTTCCCATCACAGGAAGGTTTGATGTGCAGACTTCACAGTGGCTACTGATCCACCTCTTTACGGGAAAGGCCGGGCGTGGACAAGGCCCGATTCCCTTGTTGACACTGCCTTTGGGGTGACCCTTCAGCTAGGTCCTGCTAGCTGTCTCGTCGTCCGGGTTTTCAGGAGTTAAGTTTCCTGGCTGGAACCTAAGGGCGCTCAGTTGGTTCACAGATGTTTTCTGTCCGGGTCTGGGGATGCAGACACTCGCTGGTCCCTGCTCTGAAGTGTGTGTGGTCGGGGAGACAGGTGCCTCTGGAAGGGCTGGTATACTGACTGAATGTGGGGCAGGCAGGGGGAGGGTCATGCTTCACAGAGATGATATTTGAACGGGGTTTTAAAGGACGAGCGGAGTTTGCCAGGCAGACTCTGCGGTGGTTTCGGGGAAGGAGGGCGAGTGTGGGCAGGAGCATGGGGGTGAGGGTGCTTTGTGTGTAATTCAGGCACTTGGATAGATTCCTGCGTTTCTGTCTCCATCATGACTTGCATGGTCGTAACAGAAACCGACTCGAGCTGGCTTGGCTTGAGAACAACCAGGAGTATATTAGAAGGGTCCTGGGATGGCCCAGAGAAGCCGGGGGTTGGGGGGGAGGGTTCCAAGGATACACTCTGAGAAGGGCAGGGCCAGGCGCTCTCAGGACCGTGACGGTAGGAGCCGTGGTCCCTTTACAGCCCTCTGCCATCTGCACGCTGGTCTCCCGACTCGGCGATGGTCTCATTTCAGATCCGAGAGTTGGGACAGGCCAGCTCCCAACAGCCAAGCCTCTGTCCCACGTCCCTCACCGATCCACACTGCCACTGCCTCACACTGAGGGTCACTGCTCAGACAAGGGAGAGCTTGGGAGGGGGCCGGGCGCACACCCCCAAGACCCTCGTTCACGGTGGGTTCGGGTCGTTGAGCGGTGTGGCCCCCAACGTGAAGCAGGAGGCGGCCCCTGGGCTTGACTGGATCTGCTGTTGGGCCGGCAGGGCTCCAGGAGGGGCTCCCGCAGGGCGTGGGTACTGGTGAGGCCCCGCGCCGAGGCACCACTCCAACACCGAGGCCGCCGGCACTTGGTTTTCCAGGCGGGACGGGTGCCCGGCGGGGGGACTGAGGGGCGCCGGGGTGGCCGCCCGGCCTCGGAGCTGGGCGGGGATATGAGGATGGGGTCGCTCGCCTCTTGGGGCGGGGGAGCCGAACCGCTGCTGCCGCCTGTGTGCCCGCGCCCGCACTGACGCCAGCCCCCTCCTTCCGCAGAACCGGCCCTCGGTGATCACGTGCGCCTCCGCCAGCGCCCGGAACTGCAACCTCTCCCACTGCCCCATCGCGCACAGCGGCTGCGCGGCCGGCCCGGCCAGCTACCGGAGGGCCCCGAGCTGTAAGTGACCCGCTCAGACCACTGCAGGGGACTGAGGGTTCCTTCCGTGTCCTCTTGGTCCCAGGAGCGGCTGGCCTCTGGGCCCCTTTCTGAGGGAGGTCGACACCCTGTTCTTTGAGCCCCGGTGCAGTGGCCTTGTGCTTGGCGGGGGGGGGGGGGGGGCGGGGGGGGCGGCCCGCCGGCCCCCCCCCCCAGGCCCCCCCCCCCCCGGGCCCCCCCCCCCCCCCCCCCCCCCCCCCCCCCCCCCCCCGCAGCCGCCACCACCTGCGACCCCGTGGTGGAGGAGCATTTCCGCAGGAGCCTGGGCAAGAACTACAAGGAGCCCGAACCGGCGCCCAACTCCGTGTCCATCACGGGCTCCGTGGACGACCACTTCGCCAAAGCCCTGGGCGACACGTGGCTCCAGATCAAGGCGGCCAAGGACGGCGCGTCGAGCAGCCCCGAGTCAGCCTCTCGCAGGGGCCAGCCCGCCAGCCCCTCTGCCCACATGGTCAGCCACAGCCACTCCCCGTCTGTGGCCTCCTGAAGGGAGCACCGCCCTCCAACGCCACGTCCATCTGCATGGTTTGCCTGAGCTTCGAACAGTCAGTGCTTAAAAAATGGAAAAATGAAAAAAAAAAATCGTGGGGGTGGGGGGAGGGAGGGATGGTTTATTCGCAAAAACCACGTCGTCGGGATTTTTGTTCTTGTACTTGCTTGGTATCCGTACCCGGGGCCCTCAGACGTGATAGCAGCACCTGCGTGTGGAACCTCTGTCCGCTGTCGCCCCCCAGTCCCTGCCTTGGTTACCAAAGAAGCCTCAATGCAGGTCAGCTGCCCGACAGGGCCTGGACTCCACGGCTTGCGCTTTCTTAGTCACAGGCCAGGCCACTGGTGACCCAGACGCTTTGTGCTTTTTCATTTGCTTCTCGAGACCGGGGCGTGTGCGGCTTAGCTTCCAGCCCACGTGTGTGTGTGCGCTTGTGTGTGTGCGTCTACTTGAAGAGAACAGAACTGTCGTGTCTGATTTGCACTATGGGAGGAGGACTCAAGTTGCCTGCCTGACAACTTTGTGCGAGATGATAGTACTCTGAGGGCAAACTGCTGAAAAACGGAGGGTTTAAGGATGACATTTCTGACCATGGGTGTGTTTTTCTGTTGTTGTATTAATTTAGACAAAACTGCTTTGGAAGGGGAAGTCTCATGCAGGTTTATAGGTCTTTCTCTGTCTAGATTTTCAGGTGCTTGCAACTGGACTGCAGACTCTACCAATCACGGGCATTTTACCTTTTCTAAACACTGCAGTTTGTTAGACTAGAGCTGAAGTTGGAGGATTCTGTAGTGCTTTAAACGTGATGCATGTTTTAATGGATAAAAATAGCTGGTTTCTATTAATTGTATAGACAGTAAACAGAAAGCTTAAATACTTACTAGCTTCTTTTCAGAATTCGTTTATTTTTGTCAGTTACAGTCCTAGATATACTTACTGCTGGTACAGTTGTACTCTAAGATTTGTGTTTGATATTCACGTTACTCCCAAGTAGCGTGGGGCCAGTCGGCCCCTGGCAGGCCCTGGACGCAGGCGGGCGAGCGGCTGGTCAGCTGCAGAGTGGGACGCTGGAGTTGTGGCTGCAGGCTGACAGTATCAGTTATTTTTTTTTGCATCCCTGTCTGCTTCTTAACTCGCTCCCAGGGCAGTTGGGACTCGTGTCTTCCGACTTCCCTCGACGCAGAAACTGCTCCCTTTGAACTCGTGGCTGAACAGCAGATTGCTGACAATCTGTGAGATGGTGTTTTGTATGCTTCCTCGTACGCTGGGGCCAAGGCAGTATACATTCCTCTGACTTTATACAGTTATTACTGCATTTATTATCGTTTGCTATAGTAATAGCTACTAACTAGAAATTAGGTGAAGAAGAAAGCATGACAGACCCAGCTGTGGATGTTCGACAGCTGCTCTTCTTTCTGGTAAACGTTTCTGTGCCCCTGCCCCTCCCCTGTGCTACTACCCTCCAGCCTTGCCCACCACAGGGCCTGAGCAGTCACCTGGCCAGGTGACTCGGGCATGACCACCTCACCCGCGAGGCACCGTGGACTCACCGGAGCTCTCGAGGCTGGTTGTCAGTGTGAGAAAAGTACAGGTTCGCTGGTTGGCATTGGTGAACAGGCAGGAGGATGGGCTCTTGTGGCCACAGGGTGGCTGTAGGTATTTGAAAAGGCGGAGGAAAGCCTCCCCTTTTGCCCCCCCCCGCCCCCGCACACGTTTCCCTCCCACTTAACTGGGCTTCCAGGCTTCTGCATTCAGGCCCCTATATTTTCTGTAGGAAAAATCGTTGAGAACACTTTTTTTATATAGGTAACTTTAAGACCATCATTACGCTGTGCGTAAAGAATGTACAGAGAAATTTGTAGGTATTTTTTGAAGAACAATTAATTTGTTAATGATATGTAGCTATTTAATTTTTCCCTTTCCTATTGTAATCATTCATATTTTTTTGTTGTTTGGAAAAAAAAGTTGATCTTTTTTTTGTCGTAGATTTGTCTGTAAAAGTGCAGGAACACAGTTATTCTATGAGAACACTGCATCTGCCTTAATACCCACTAGTTTGTTATCGCTACAGGCTACTGAGCGTCGCCCCAGGAAAACAACCCCACTGCCGGCGGCTCTGTGCAGAACGGGCTCCTCGCACACCCGCGTCCACCAGCGAGGCCATCGCTTTGCGAGGGACGGTGGCACTGAGGGCCAGGTCCCTGGTGCGCTGACCTATCTGGGATAGGCAGCACCTGGGAGGGGCCTCGGGCAGGAAACCAAACGGTCACCAGGAAGGGACACTCCCAGGCCTCGGGGAGCACAGAGAGGTTCTTCACAGAGCCAGGCCATCTGCAGTGTGTTCTGACCATTCTCTCCATGTTTGTAAATCTGTAATATACCATTCTCTGTGGCCTGTTTTTCCTGGAAGAAGAAGAAAAAAAAAGGTTTGGCAGGCCATCTTTTTTTTGTACTTAAAAGTAGCCTTAAGAACAATAATAAAGTGCTCTTAAACCACAGACTGTATGTGTGATCCTTGGGTCCTGCAGTGACAGAGCCAGGCTGGGTGGGACCTTTGCTTGAAGCCCCAGAGAGGCTGGGGCAAGGCTCAGCAGCCCTGCCCTGCTGTACAGTGGCCTCCAATTTAAGCCCCGCACAGGCTGGAAAGCTGTAATTTTAACTCTCTAGGAGAAACGTCGTTTACCTAACTAACTTACTTACAGAAATCCAACTCTTGTACGACTCAGACTCAATTCTGACTTTGGTTCCAGGCCCAAGACAAAAGATGACACCACAGAAATAAAAGTGGAAAGGGCTCCTCTCCTGGGTTCCATGCCCAGCTCTGAGGCTGGCACGGACGTGCTCACCCAGGAGGAGGAGGAGGAAAATCAGCCCAAGGGGCCCACGGCAGAGCCCTCCCGCCACCCCTGATGGACACCTGGCCACAGGCTGAGGCAGACACACCACGGACTCCAGCCCACACAGAGTCGGGCCGTCCAGGCCACCACCAGGGAGGAGCCTGGGACGGAAGGCGCAGCTGCCCCTGCTTGTGGCAGGAGAGCAGGCTCTCACGTGGGGTCTGAAGCCTTCTCTGGGCCTCGGGTGTCCTGTACAGAGGCAGGAGGGGCCCCACACAGGCAGCTTCGAGGATCTGTCCCTGGGCCCTGCCACCAGCACAAAGCAGCAGACACTTGTGTCCTCCCGAGCCCGCAGCTGAGGACAGGCCCGCAGGTGGGGGGAGCTGTCTGGGCAGCAGACTCCGTCCTCAGCAGGGGTCTGGGTTCACAGGGACAAGTGCGGTCCCTTCTGTCCCGCACGTGCCTCAGCTCTCCTGCCTCCCCCGCCTGCAGGCCAAGCTGACGAGAACCCCAGCGCTCACACGTGCCCGGGGCCCCTCTGCGGGCTTTGTGGCACTGCCCCCGCGATGGCTGCGGCAAGGAGCTGACTTCTCACTTCCCTGCCTGCTCTGCATTGGGCCAACTCCTCCCTCTCCTCATTCCACCCCATGGGGGTCACGGCCAGGAGAATCCCGGGAGCCTGACTACCAAACACGTGTGACAAGAAGAAGAAAGAACTGCTCGTGGAGGGAACCAAGTCCCAGATCACTGGCAAGGCCGAAGCCAAGGTTATTATTTAGCTGAGAACTGGTGGGACCATGAATCATAAGAAACGGAGAAGCTCCCGGGCAGCAGAGGGAGGGCCCCAGTCCTTAAGGTATGGAGATGAGGGGACCACAAAGGTTGGAGAATCACCACAATCACCGGTCCTGGGGGCAGCGTCCTGCTCCGGAGACTGAGAGCCCCTCAGCGGGCCGGCAGCCAGGGTGGGGGGCGTGTCAGACGGTCTCGTCGTCGCTCATGTCCCAGATCTGCGTGGAGAACGGGAGATGTTCAGAGCGTTCGTTCACCCGGCACCACCTGTGATGCTGCCTCAAAGCCGTGCAGCTGTGGCGACAGCAAAAGGAACACGGCCGCCACCTGCAGTGCCTCACAACCCCTTGTCACCAAGGGACTGACACCCCGTTTCCTGTATAACGAAACCACGTCTCAGAGCCCTGCGGTCACTTGCCCAAGGCCTCCCTGGTGAATGAGCCCCCGGTGGCCGAGCTGGGGGAGCGGGGATTTGGACCGGGCCGTGCGGACCCTCCCACTGCCGCAGCGTCCCTGCCCCGCCCAGCCCCCCACTCACTCCCATTTCTGTGGCGCTGACCACTGCTGCCCTCCAGAGTAAGCCCTCTGGCCACCACGGGCCCCGAGGAACGAGAGGAATGAGGGGGGGTCCTGCCCGCTGGCCCCCACAGGCCCAGCTTTGTCTCTGCACCCCCAGCGTGAACCCCCGGGAGAAGGCCCAAGGCCAGCATGGAGCCCCCAGGCGCTCCTCGCACCCTGTGCGCCTGGGCCCTGAACTTACGCCTACAGACTTTCAAAATTCCTAGAATTGGTTGCAAAAGGCCACCTCAATGCTGGCAGAGCCGAGGAAAGGAACATCGTGTTTACGCGAGGCTGGCCCGGAGAGATGGGGAGTCCCAGCCAAGGTAAATATCAACACCAGCTTGGCTTTCAGTGTTGGGGATGTGGAAAATAAATACAGAGAAGGAAATTTCCTCTCTCCTGAGGACCAGCTGCCTGGGGCCGAGGGCTGGTGGTGGGTGTGCCTCTCACACACACCCTCACTTTTACATGCACCCTGCTGTCCAAGGACACTGGGATGAGACCACCAAGGTCCAGACGCCCGAAGCAGCGGGGATGGTGCGGAGAGACTGGGGCTGGGGCCCAGCAGCCTGACGGTGGCCTGGTGGCCCTGCCCTTTTCTGGGCCAGGCTCCCCACCCAGATCATCCTCAGCAAGGCTTGACACAGACCCCTGGGCCTGCCCCCTCGTGTGGGATGGGGGCTGGTGGTGGAGGAGCTGTTGCCTTTCCGACTAAGGCTGCATCTGACGCACCTCCAGTTCTAACCATCCGAGTGGGGGAAGGGGCACCAGAGGGCTCTCTGACACAATTCATTTATTCTTTCACTCTCATTCAGTAAACACACGCGGGCTCTGCCGACCTGGCGCAGATGCTCCCTCCTTCACTCCTCACAACAGCCTGTGAGGAGGTGTAGATGCAAACAGGCTCAGAGAAGGGGAGTCACCTAGCCCAGGATCACACAGCAAGTAAGGTACAGAGCTGGGAACACAGGTGAGAGGGAAAGGGTTATGTGAGTAAAAAGGCTGCCTGGGCTTCAGGGCTGGGGCAGGCTGCTTGGAGGAGGGGGTCAGGCCAAGACGAGGGGGGTGAGCCCGGTGGGCCACGGCCCCCTCTGTCCTCCCGCCCAGCCTCCGGGGAGGTGGGCCGCCAGCCAGGGCCGGGCAGAGTCCGTGTCAGTGAGCAACGCCCTCCTGCAAGTGGGTAGCCAGGGCTCTTCACAGGACCCTGGGGGGCCAGGCCCTGGGAAGGGCTTTAATGGGAAAGCAGGAGCCTCAATCCATTCTGTCATCCATCTTATTGGCTCTCAGCTCTGGGGAGGAATCCTCAGCACCCGGCCCTACCTCTGCACACGGCAGGGCGGGGAGAGAGCTGGCTTGAGCATGGGCAGCGGGGAGGGATCCTGGCTCTTCCCCTTGTTCCTGGCACTGCCCAGGCTGCGTAGGGGACCAAGTAAGGCACCCAAAGGGCTGATTATGATGGGACTCTGCAAAAGGGGGGTGGGGGGAGGCAATGGATTTTACAGAACTGCTCGGGGATTTTCCAGAATGTGTTCTCTGGGCCGGAGATGGGGTTTCTCTGCTAGGGCAGCCAGTCTTTTTGCCGTTGGCTGGGCTCAGGAGGGCAGCAGCAGTCTTAAGTGTAAACCTCCAGAAACTTCAGCCTCGACAAATACTGTATGATATCACTTAACGTGTAGAATCTAAAAAAGCCAAACTCATAGAACCAGAGAGTAGTTGCCAGGCCCTGGAGGGGATGGGGAAATGGTCACCGGGTACAAGCTTTCAGTTATAAGAAGCATAAATCCTGAGGATCTAGTGTATAGCCTACCGACTACAGTTTATAGTACTGTATACTTTTAAAATTTGCTAAGAGGGTAGATCTTAAGCGTTCTTACCACAAATAAAAAAAGGGCTGTGAGCTGAAGGATGTGTTAATTAACTTGACTGTGGACATCATTTCAAAAGTATACACATATTAAATGATCACATAGTATACCTTTAAAAAAATCACATGTACAACCTAAATATATAGTTTTAATTTGTTAGCCATTCCTCAATAAAGTTGGGGGCAGGGGAGAAACGTAAGCCTCAGCTCCTGGTAGACTGTGGACTCCCAGGTTAGTCTGTTCCCTGCTAGGTCCTCAGCCTTCTGCCCACCACCTGGGGAAGACGGGGCCATGTCCTCTTAATGAATAAAGGTTGTAATAAACTGGCAAAGATTTTAAAAATATTAGCACTCAGTGCTGGCAAGGGCATGGTGAAACACTTCCAGGAGGAGTATAAATTGGTACCGTATTTTTTTAAAAGAAGAGATTTGGCAGTATGTAACGCGAAGCTTTCGAAACGTCCGTACCCTGAGGAAGAGAGAAATGATCTTTTTTACAGATGATATGCAAGTATACCTAGAAAACCCAAGAAAATAAATGCTGAGATGAATACAGATAATAACGAGTATTCATAAGATAGCAAGATATGAAATTAATGACACAAAATTATAGCCTTCCTGTATACAAACAACATCCAGTTAGAAAACATAATGAAAGAGAAGAACCCAATGTAAGAGCAATGAAAAAGATAAAATTACTAGGGAGTAAACCTAACATGAAATGCACAACATCTTTAGGGAGAAAATCCTTCAAAACAGTCCTGTAACAGTCCTCACAAACACTGTATGGAAAGTAAACTGCGATAAATGGGGATACACCCTGTGTTTTTTGCATGGGACAATTCAACATCAATAAAGATGTCAGCTTTCCCAAGTAAACATATAAATTTAACACGATCTCAGTTTTTAAAAAATCAAGTATCTTTCCTGGAGCTAGACAAGCTGGTTTTAAAGTTTATGTGGAAAAGGAAATAAGCAAGACTTATCTAAGAAAACCTTTGAGTATGAAAAGAGCAGTGAGGCAGTTCCCCTACTCTGTGTTTAAGCAAGTCATAAAGCCTGTAATTTACAGGGTTGTGTCAGCAGGAGCACAGACAAATGGGCCAGTGGAACCAAATGAGTCGAGAAACAGAACAGAATGTCCAAATACACATGGAAATTTAGTATCTTAATAATAAAGGTCTGAGGAATGCGATCTCAAATCATTAGAAAAATATGAGCTTTTAAATAAACGACATAGGGACAACTGGAGAGTCATTTGCAAAAAGATAAAATTGATTCCATGCCTCACTGTATATCAGAATCAAGGCCAAATGGAGCAGAGATGTACGTGTAAAAAAATGAAACCATTCAAATACTGGATGCAAACGTGGGTGAATTTCTTTATAACTTGGGAGTGGGGAGCCGATGATCCAAAATCTATAAACAATAAAAACAGATACAG